GAAAGGAGGGGATTACAGGATAAGAAATAACGAGGGAGTGGTGTTATAATAAGAAAATGCAAAAAAATAAAAAAAAAAAATAAAACAGGATGTGGCCGTCCTTTCCGAACTCTTTACTTCCCCCGCTTTCCTGCCTGCAGTGGGGGAGGCACACTTCCCGGGGTGGGTGAGCGGAGGCCGGAGAGGGAGAGGGTAGGCGCATTGGGGCACCGGGGCTGTGGGAGGGGAGGGTAGGGGAGGGGAGGCCTCGGGCCCGGACCCTCCTCCCTCCCACCCCCACGGGCGGCGCGGGGCTCCCGTGGCTTCTGCGCCCCGCGCGCGGGCGGCGCTCACCTGCTTCCCGGGAGTTTGGGGCCGACGGCCCGGGCAGGGGCGGGCTGCGGTCAGGCCTTGGCGAGGTGTCCTTGGCCGGTCCCTCCGGCGCGGCGCGTCCCACCGAGTTTGTCTGCTTTTCTCGCCCCCGCTCCCCTTCCCAGCTTGGATCTGGAGATAACTTGGTGACTTGTCGGTCAGGCGCTTTGTGGTGTGGAGCGTGAGTCCACTGCTTTCGCTGTCATGCGAGGAGTGCCTCCGCGGCTCCCGGGGGTTCCCTGGTTTCTCATTTCATCGGAGGCGGCGTCTGCCAGGGATTAAGGCTGGATGGAGAGCTGAGCGAGAGATGTGTGTGCGCGCGCGCGGGTGTGTGGACACGGGCACAGGAGCGTATCACCCACACAAACAGGCACAGAGCACCAACTGGTTCACTTAATTGTGGGTTCCTTCCTGGAAGGTTTTCTTCCCTTCAGTCTTGAAGGGGCTTGGTTTGGAGACAGAAAGGGAAGCATTGCTTTTCACAAAGGGCAGCACATGAACTTCGCCAGCCTAAGAGATGGAATGGGCTGCATTTATAAAGAGGTTAACAAAAGGGCCTATGGCAGAGTCATTTGGGGTTATTGGGATATTGGGAAGAGCTGGGAGGTTGGGAGATGCTTAACCCTGGGCTGCCGGACCTGGGAAGGGCACTGCCTACCTGCCGGGCGTGTCTGGGGGCTTTTTGAAGTGTTCGTTAGTAGCTTGTGGAATGAGGTGATCAGTTTTGATCTAGTTCTAGTGCAATTCAAACTGAGCTCCCAGTCAGAGTCGCACTGGTTAGTTGGAAATCAGTTTCGTGGATCACAACCATCATTAAAGAAAAAGAAATAGAAGATATCGGAGTGCGTTGTCCTTGTAATGGTAAATACCGTTTCTTGACACTTGTTTCAGGTACACACACATGTGTTAGTGCATTAAGAGATGTTAGAAAATGTTTCTGTGTCTAACAGAAACGCTAGAAACATATTGGTTACCTGTTTGCCCTCTTGCCTTCTTTAACCTGAGTTTTCATTAATTTAAGCCTGTCCTGGAGGATGCAGTTAGCACACCAGGAATATACAGTAAAGAACAGAGTGGGTCTCCTTCAGGAGCTGACTGCCCAAGAAGAAAGACGGTCAGTCCCTCTTCACTCATTGGAAACGCGTGCGATTGGAGAACAGGATTTTGTTGGACTAGGAGCAAGCCGTTTAGATGAAAAGGCAGCTACTCTAGTTTTTGTTGTTTGTTTGTTTGTTTTTTGGATGGAATTGTCCATTTTACCATCAGAGCTTCTTGGATGTGTATTTCCTATGAAACTTTTCACATCTGTTGACTCTATGGCCGTAAAGCTGCCGTGATCCGTGACGGATATCTGGGAAGTGGACACGGAGGCCATGCGTACCTGGTGTTTGGACCTCTGAGGATCACTTCCTGGTTCATGGGTCATTTGTTATGTATTATTATTTTTAAGAATGCAGTTATCAGTCTGAACCTGTGGTGGGTTCCTGATCTGTTCCTGCCAGTGCCTAACTAGGGTCACCACGGGTTAACAGACAGAGGCGAGAAGAGTATGAAGGGCATTGTGGAACCCTGGAAGGAACAGAGGCCAGAATGTTTTATTATTGCTTCTGAATACGAAGGGTAAAAATCTCTTCTGGAGTCCATTTTTCAGGAGGTACTCTCATGGGCAGGCTCTCCTCAGCAACTAGAATCTTAGATGATGCAGGAGTTCTTACAGCCTGTCCTGCCCCACTTCTGTCTTGGGGATGGTGATACCTGGACCCACATTAGGTGGGTTTTCCTGTTGCTTTTATGGTTGTGTGAGAGCGTAGGAGGGTCTCAAAAACCCGTAATGATTTCGCCGTCCTTTTTAAAGGCCGATGGCTTGTTCTGGGTTGTAGGTCACTCTGGCGTGATTTTACAGTCACAGCCAGCATGTAAGAGAGAACTATGATCCACATCCCAGAAATGTTGCTCTGGTTCAGGTACTATGCTCTCTTATTAAGAAAGGTACCAGGTTGCTTGTTATTCACGAGTGAAACAGCTCAGAGTTGGAAAGTCTCCCTGTCCAAAACTTCAAAAAAAAAAAAAAAATCACCTATGTCCCTAGAAAAGAGAGGGAGTACTTTTCCATGTTGACTTTAACTTGAAAAACACTTTGAGGCCGGGCCAGTGTGCCTCAGTGGCTGGGTATCGACCCATGAACCAGGAAGTTACCGTTTGATTCCCAGTCGGGGCACATGCTTAGGTTGCCGGCTCGATCCCTAGTAGGGGGCATGCAGGAGGCAGCCGATCAATGATTCTGTCTCATCATTGACGTTTCTCTCTCTCCCTCTCCCTTCCTCTCTCTGAAATAAATAAAAACATTAAAAAAAAAGAAAACCACACACAAACTTCTAGGACGGAGTGATCTTAAAGAGACACTAATAGTGCCGCCCTGAGAACAGGGAGTGAGGATTCGGGAAACAAACTGCTTATCCTGCAGACTTGGTCCCTGGTCCCTACCTGTTCAGTGTAGACAGGGCCTCCCCCCTTTAAAAGGACCACTTCCATGAATGAACCTAAAGCACAGACACTTCCGCGCCTTTGTTCTTCCCAGTGACCCTTGCTTGGCAGAGAGTCATTGAGGCCTGGAGCAGTGGTTCCCAAGGTCACAGACTTAGCAGAGGAGGGGAGGACAGGGTGGAGGCGATATGCTTCTATCAGCAGCATTTCCTGTTTGAGTCCAGGGACTCCTCTAGGCTTTTCCTCCTTTTGCCCATCGCCCCATCTGACAGCGCCATAAACCTGGCTTCTTGCCGCTGGCCCACGAGAGGTGGTGATAGGAAGGAAATGCGTGCACGGTTGAGTAGAGCTGAACTTTGTGCGCTTTCTCTGAGTTTGCCATTACTGATTATTACAAACTTATTTTTGGCCTATAGATGTTTGGATACCCGTGAAGTCGGGATCGAGGGGGAGTTTGAATGATTGAGAATTGTCAGGTATATTTTAAAAGTATTTTTAAATACTTTTGTGACAAGGTGGGGAGAGGCGAATAAATAAATACAGGACAAGAGTTCTGGGAACATTTTTCTCTGGCGAATCAAATCGAGGAATGGGGTCTTCAGGGGCTGCCCTGGCACACACAGCTCATCATGCTGACGGAGACACTGTGAAGACGCAGGTTGGCAGGGGAATCCGGTCAGCTTCGGCTCTTTTCCTAGGCTGTGCTGGAGGTAGTACAGATAGTTATTGAAAAGACAGCTTTTTAATTCCCGAGTTTTTAAAGATTACACGGCAGCCTCGATAGAGAAGAATGAGCCCTGTCCTGTGTGGGGTCTGTTTTCTTCTGTGAGTTTTATTAGTGGTTGAAGCAGCATCTGAGCTGTGCAGGTGTTGTGCAGGGTGTAATAGGAACAGCCTTCTGATCTTGAACAAGTCAACAAGTCACTTGGCGTTTCGGACTTCATTTCTAGTCTGCAAGATGGTACTTGCATTACTGAGCCCCAGAACCCTTCACAATCCTTAGCTGATCCAGTCCCTTGCAGATGGTTGCTCTTTGTTATTTGTCTTTGTGTTTCCGTTGGGTGCTCAGGAATGAAATCATCCAGGAAGATAATCTGCGGTGAAAGTACTTGGAGAATTGTAACGTGCTATACTTGTGTGAGGTTAAAGAAGATTCCTAGAAGAGGGCCATTGGACAACAAAACAGGAATGAGTTTTTAAGCAACAAATAAGAGTTGTTGGTCCGGAATGACTGGGGTGAAACCTGCAGGAGATGGCAGGGTCCCGGGATTTCCTTGCCTTGCTGCCTCGAAGCTGCCACGCCTCTGCGTTTTCCTGCTTTAGCTAAGAGGACACTTACATCCGCAGGCTGGTGGAGTTTCTCCTTGTTGTGGGTGCATGCTGCATTTGATTTCTTTCTTTAAAAAAAAAAAAAAATATATATATATATATATATATATATATGGATTGATTTTAGAGAGAGAGGAAGGGAGAGGGAGATAGAAACATCCATGATGAGAGAGAATCATGGATCGGCTGCCCCCTGCACGCCTGACAACCCGGGCATGTGCCCTTGACTGAAATCGAACTCGGGACCCTTCAGTCCTCAGGCTGACGCTCTATCCACAGAGCCAACCCGGCTAGGGCTGCATTTGATTTCTTAGTGTTTCTTTTCCGTCCTGTTACTTAGTAACAGAATCTCCTGTAAGCACTCCTTTATGATTGTGGAACTTTTATTCGTTTAGTCTCTTTTCTGTAGAGCCCATTCCTGTTGAAAGGCCTTTGACATGTATGTAACATGCCTCACCTAAAGATGGAAATCGTTCGTGTGGAAACAATGTATAGTTATACATAGGGCTGTGATGCTAAGTACATTTCCCTGGTCCTCAAGTAATGGTGCTTTCCAGTTTTCCACAGAGCACCATTGTTTTTTCAGTCAGTCTCTGTGTATTAAAATTAGTTAAAAATGAGCTTTTGGTGGGTAGGAGGCCCCCCTAAGTCACTGGGAGACAGGCACAAGCAAGACCACCGATCCCCCTACACGGAGCCTTCTGGAGCTGGGGGATGAATTGCAATTGCAGATTAATTTTATTCATTTGACAGATACTCACTGAGCTGCATTTGTGTGCCAGGCGCTGTTCTGGGTCCTGAGTGTGCAGCACCGTACAGGGCAGGCAGGCAGGCAGGCCCGGCCCTGCCCTCACCGAGCGCCCTTCCCATGGGACCTATAAGGTGATGTCAAGTGAAAAACTCACCGATGTGTACCTGAAGTGTACAGTCCTCCCTGGCTTCTACCACTTAACGTTAAGAAGGCAGATCTTAACGTTAAATCAGGTGGAAAATGGGCATGGTTCTTGGGTTGTAAGTAATTTATCATTTCCTTCCTTCCTTCCTTCCTTCCTTCCTTCCTTCCTTCCTTCCTTCCTTCCTTTTCTTTTTTTAAAATATATTTTTATTGATTTCAGAGAGGAAGGAAGAGAGAGAGTTAGAAACATCAGTGATGAGAATCATTGATCAGCTGCCTCCTGCACGCCCCTTCCTGGGGATCGAGCCTGCAGCCCGGACATGTGCCCCTGACCCGAATCGAACCTGGGACCTTTCAGTCCGCAGGCCATTGCACTATCCATTGAGCCAAACCAGCTAGGGCTTCTTTTCTTTCTTCTCTCCCTCCTCTCCCCTCCCTCCCTCTCTCTGTCCTTCCTTCTCTCCTTTCCTCCCTCCCTCCTTCCCTCCCTCCCTCCCTCCCTCCCTCCCTCCCTCCCTTCCTTCCTTCCTTCACCCTCCCCTCCCTTTACTTTCCCCTCCCTTCCTCCTCCTCCTCTCCCCTTCCCCCTTTTGGAGAGGTTGTGATTCATAGTCCAAACCTGAAGGGCAGTACTCAGTGCTGACCATGAAAAGCTACCTCTGGCACTGGAGTCGTCTGAACACCTGGCCTCCCTGAGTGAGAGTGTTGTAGAGGAGGAGGTATCATTGGGGTTATTTTCCGTGCACACATAAGACTCCGTGTGGAAATAAAGCATTATATATAGACTACATTTGAAGTGAATCAGGGCCTGTGTCTACAGGATGGATTTATGTTAGGAAATAACATCAAGGCCAATCAAAGTTACTTTGAAGTAAATTGCTGCCTCCATTATCCTTCCTTGATTCAAACCAGTCATTTAGTGGTGGGATGAGGTGTTTTTTCTACAGTGGGCAGTGTGGGCACCAGGCCTGGGAGATGATTCCAGGGGCCTGTAAACATAGCATGGGCTAATCCTGCCACCACGGCACTGTGGTCCTCCTAAAGCGTGTTTGCGTGTGATGTCCTGGTTCCCGATAGACAGATAAGAGCTCTACAGCAGCGGCCGCCAACCTTTCGGACCTCACCGACCACCAGTGGTCCGTGGACCACCGGTTGCTGGCCGCTGCTCTACAGTGTGGAGCCGTGAGTAGGGATGTCTTCTCTTTGGCTACTTCATTCATTTCATTCAACCAGTGTTTATTGCACTTCTCCAGGAGGGACCTGCTGAGGTCTTTTGCTAGGATGGGAGTAGGGGAGGCCACAGACTTTTTTTTTTTAAGGAATAAAGGATACACACACACACACACACACACACACACACACACTAAGTGAGTACATTTGGTTCTTTTGTGCTTTCAAGTTCGCAGGAAGGCTTACTGTTGTCCATTTGATGTCTTTAGACCTTTGGGCCTGAAGATCATCATTAGGTCACCAGGAGTAGTGCAAAGTCCTTGAATCAGGCCCTTCCTTGTGAGACGGGAATGTGTACTCTTGTGTCTGAGGACAGTACAATTATTCCTCATGATCTGAGTCTGTGCGGTTCCTGAATTCCTGCAGTGAGTTCAGATGCCACGTTATCAAGATTTCTGTGGTTTCTGAGTTTGAGATAGTAGCAAGAACTAGAATGTTAAGGGTTATCAGCCTTAAGAAAAGAACAACAACAAAAAACCCCACAAGGGATATCAGCTTTATTTTTTAAAAAGTACCTAAGTTTGCCCGGCCGATGTGGCTCAGTGGTTGAGCATCAACCCATGAACCAGGAGGTCACGGTTCAATTCCTGGTCGGGGCACATGCCGGGGTTGTGGGTTCGATCCCCATGGGGGGTGTGCAGGAGGCAGCTGATTGATGATTCTCTCTCATCATTGATGTTCTCTTCCTCCCTCCCTCCCTCCCTCCCTCCCTCCCTCCCTCCCTCCCTCCCTCCTTCCCTCCCTCTCCCTTCCTCTCTCTGAAAGCAATAAAAACATATTTTTAAAAAGTACCTAAATTTATTCACTGTTTGAGTTTGGATCCTGAAAGTTGGAGCAATGAGAGGTCTTGGCACGGGCTGCCCAGATGTCCTCAGTGCTCAGGAGGGGTACATCTGATGCTGCAGTTTTGCATGAGGCTTCATGGAGGAATTGCACTTGGAGTTGGGTCAGACTTAGCCGGGCAGAGATGGGCACAGGCTGGGGGGCTTGTGAGCAAGGCACTGCGAGGCCTGGGTGTGTTCGTGCACACACTGCCCTGAAGAGTTTAGGCATCTTGAATGGTGGGGTTTGTTACACTCAAGTCAGGAAAGTTCTGGGAAGCCCCAGGCACTTCTGCAGTTCTTGGACTAACATAAGTGTTATTGAGGAAGCAGAGTGGTGTGAAGAGGCAGGTGTCTCCTCAGGAGAGGACCTGTGGGTTGTGGGTGGTGCTGGGCTAATCTTGAGGGCTCCGTGGAGGAGCTGAGGAACCGCCTCTCTCAGGAGCGTGGCCGAGATGGGCAGTAACTGCAGCCTGGACCAGGACTGCTTTTCAGAGCATGTGTTTTCAAAGCCAATAGTCAGTTATTGCTCCAATATGGAGCTCTTGCCACCCACACCATAGATTGTCTCAAAAACTTAAATTGGGTTAAAATGAATAATTTTAACCTGATGTTCATCTATATTTCAGTTGATTCGGCAAACGTTGAGTTGGGTATGAGTAAAATGTGCATGGAACAAGGATGATTTAACAGTTGGAAAAATATATTAATTTTTAAATTAAAGTTACCATGTTAACGCTGTTGACTAAAGAGCATGGGCTCAGGAGGCCGACGATTTGGGTTTAAGTTACAGCTCTGTCACTCCTAGCTGTGTGGCCTGGGCCACAGTACCTCACATCTCTGGGCCTCGTTTCCTCATGTACAAACTGGGGCCAGTGACAGTGCCCATTTCATAGAGTCGTGTGCGGCTTAAATGGGATGATACTGTAAAGCGTTTAGTCTAGTGCCTGGTACATAATACTCAATAACTACTCAATAAATGTTCATAAAGGGAACAGAAAAAGACCAGATTACCCTTACAGCTGCTTCTGACCCTGAGCTTCCTTGTGTGGCGTGAGTTTTGTATGGTAGAGTGAGGCTGTAGGGTGTGGTAAAAGGAACCTTGGATGGAAGCTGGGTCCACTTCTGGTTCTGGTTCTGCCCTGGGCTAGTTGTGGGGCTTTACGTAAGTCCCTTCATCTCTCTGTGTCTCAGTTTCCTAATCCGTGGAATGAGATGTGACTAGATGATGATGACGATGACGATGAGGACAGCTAATAGGTACCAAGTGCCAGACACTGCGCCCTGTGCTCTGAACGGCTCACGTCGTGACCACCTGTGAGGATGTGTTGCAGATGGGGACACGGGAGCTCCGGTTCCTTCTGCAGGGTTACCGCGCTCTCCAGGCAAAGCCGGCCTCATCCAGTGGTCCTCAGTGCTGTGTGTTAGATGTTAGTAGTTCTACACGTTAGCCGACTCCCTCTGCATTTAGTCTTCAGGCCATCCTTCCATTTTGGCCAGTGCAAACACTGGAGAGTAGGCCTGTGATCTGAGGCTGACTTGCAGTTAAAAAGCGTTTCTGAAGTGTTAGATATTCCTGTGGAGGTAAATGTGGGCTCCCCGCCCCCACACCCTTATGAAATGAAGTCTCACTTGAGGTGCTTTGAACTTGGGCAGGGCTGGTGTAAACACTTCAGTGGGGGAGCCTCTCTCCGCAGGGCTCTCGAACGAGGCCCTCTGCAGCCAGACATTGGAGGGAAGAACGGGCGTGTTTTGCAGTTGGAAATACTAGCTGGCTGCAGGCTTTTCTTAAACACGCCCCTCACGGACATCCAGGTGTTGCAGGAAATGGGGGTGCCAGGTTCTAGGGAGCCACTGGGCTGCGGCTGTGCAAGCTGGAGCCGTGAGTGTCGGGTCGGGGTTTGCTCTCCCGTACCCCACGGGAGCTGCAGGTGGGGCCGGTCGTTTTTCTGTGTTATAATGTTGTTTGGGAAACTGACCCAAATGGAGACTTTGGTCAGTGACTTGTCAAAGGCATCGTCTGGCTCCACTTTGCGAGCCTTGAAGTGTCCGAATGTTCTGGCGTTTACGTGACATTTGGGGGAAAGGTGATGTGACAGACAACCTGGGCAGTGGCTCAGATCATCTGCTTCCTCTCCGGGAGTAGAAGTTCTGGTTTCAGGCGGCCATGAGTGTCAATACTGTGCAAGTTTCCTCTGTGGGGACCTGGAACGGGGTCGCCGGCGGGGTGTGTAGCAGGGATCGATGCTTCCCTCCGGCCCGTGGGAGCGATGTGGCGATGAAGGCACCGTCTGTGCTGTTGCAGTCCTTATGGCGAGAACTGCTCTGGGTCATTCCGGCTCTCTGACCCCAGTTAGAATATGAATCAGCAGAATTGCAGCTGGAGTTCCAGCTAATCACCTGCGTATCTTTTAACCACTAAGATTTATATTTAGTGACTAATGATCTTGTGCTGGCAGTGCCATCTCCCACTCAAGTCCCCAACAGTCTTTTATTAAAAAACAACAACAAAGAAAACCGGCTCTGCGTAAGGCCAGTGACTTAAAAATAACATTTCCCCCCTTTCTTTTTTCTGCAGGATCTGCCCTCTTGGGACCCCATGGCTTTCTTTCCTGGGCTAAGGGGCCCTTTCACCCGCATCAGCAGAGCCCTCAGCCAGCGCTGTTTCAGGTAACTTTCCCCAGGAAGTTCTTCAAGCTGCATCTTTGATAAGCCTCCCTCCCATCAGGGCTGGGTATTATGGTGACTAGAACGGGAGCGGAAACTCAGGGAGGTGGGCCGTGGGTCAGGAAGCTGAAGGAGTCAGACTGGGCTGGGGCCTGGTGAGGTCAGGTGAGGGGCATGGGTACGGAGGTGACGGTGCTGTGAGGGGCGGGATAGGGAAAGGCACGTGGTGGAAGGTGGAACTGTTCAGTCCTTGCCAGACTTCAGCGAATCTGACATTTCTTAACCCTCCCGTTCCCCCCCAGTGCATTGAAACCTTCTATTTTAAAACTGGAATCATTTTTTACAAGTTACTGACTACCAAAATCTTAAGCATGACAGAAGTGTGACAGCCTGCCCTCCTTTTAGACGCTAACCCAGGGGGAGAGCACAGCTGCATTCCTGTTGGCAAACATGCCTTCTGGCCCCGTCCGTGCACTCATTTCACAAGCGCCTACTGAGCACTACTGAGCACCGTGCCTGGGGTTGGTAATAGAGAGATGAATGAGAATCGCTGCCCGGGAAGAGTTCTCACAGTTGGCCATGGGAGCAGACTTGGAAACAAATAACTGGAAGGAAACGTGACCAGTGTAATAATAGAGGTTTGTGTGGTGCTGTGGAAGGCCCGAGACCAGAGCTGCTAATGGAGGAGGAGGAGGAGGAGGAGGAAGGGAGAGTGGAGGCGGCCTTCCCAGAAGGGAGGAGGGAGCAGGCCCCGGGCAGGCCTCGGGGAGGGCTGCGAGGGGCGTGTGCTTGGCGAGCTCCAGAGCTTCCCGGCCACTGGGGCACAGGGCGGGCGTGCAGGTGGTAGGAGGTGGTACCTTAGAGGGCAGGTACAACGGGGCCAGGGTGTTGACAAGTAGAGAGTGGGAAGCCATTGAACACTCCAAAGCAGGGGGGTGGCCTCAGTTTATATTCTAAAAAGAGCTGCTGGTTGGCATAGTGAGGCGCACTGGGAGCCAGTTAGGACACCATGTCTTCATCTTGGTGTGAGAGAGTGAGCTGCTGAACCTAGGAAGTGTTGATGGGGTGCAGGGAGAGGACAGAGCTGCTGAGGAGGCAGTAACAGTAGGAGGTGGCCGCAGCGGAGGGTGATGGAGAGAGAGGTGTATGGCTTGGGTGCTGGAGTTTCCGGAGAAGCCATTACCTCGATGGGAAATGCAGCCGCAGGAGGAGGAACGCCAGGGGAGGCGACAAGGTCCGTGTGGGGCCTCCTGTGCAGTAGCTGTAGGATGTGTAGCGAGTTTAGAGCGGAAACACAGGACTAGAGCACAGGAGACAAGTGGGGCTGGAGGTGGAATTTACTAGTTGGAAGCAATGGGCATAGATAGAATTGCCCAGAATAGGCATGTGGGGGGAGGGGAGAGGACCTGGGGCTACCTGGGGAACACCAGCACGTAAGGGGCCAGCATCAGGGAAACGGAAACCCACTGTCATCAGGTTACTTAATGGTAGCTTGTCTGCCTTCAGTAGGTACCTGCTTAAAAACAAATTTCTAAAAATCTACACCAATAAAAGAGAAAGATGCAAATTGACCGCACCTTCACAACGCCCAACAGCCAGTCAGGAGTGAGTATGCAAATTAACCCAACAAAGATGGGTTAATTTGCATAGCAGGTGCTGAGCGGCTGGGAGGTGGGGTGGGACGCAGGCATTCTGCACAGCCCCAGCCGCTCTGGGCCTCTGGGCAGCGTGGGAAGGCAGAAAGGCGGCTCTGGGCCAGAGTGAAGGCAGAAAGGCGGCTCCGGCCAGAGCGAAGGCGGTGCTGGCAGCCAGGGGAAGGAAGGCCCATTCTTGCACGAATCTTCGTGCATCGGGCTACTAGTAAAATAATAATAATAAACAACAAATTTATTTCGAGTGGAGGAAACTGCATTAAAACAGAAAACTGTTCCCTTGACATATTTCCTGTCTCTGCTTTGTGGTGTCAACAGACTCTCTTAGCAGACCTACTCACTCATATCTCTGGTTCCCAGCAACATATAGATGAGGAAATTTGGGAATCAGTATAGTCTGGGGGAGCAGGTTTGGCAGGCTAGGCGGTGGGTGAGGCCTGGCCCATGAGGTATTCCCTTAATACTCAGAGTCCTTTTGGAAATCAAAGGCTTTCAATGAAGGCTGCCATGAAGTTTGTTGTAACAGAAAAACGGGTTCTCTTTAAAACCCATTCGAGTGAGGTTCTTGACCCGGCAGCGGGAGCTCCTATCTGTGACGAAACTGTCGCAGAGGAGCCCTCGGCAGCACCTGCCTCCCCGTCAGAGCTTGGGTGGTGCTCTGTTCAGTGTGTTGTTGCTAACGTGCACTCTCTCCCATCCCGGCCTCCGCACCGGACCGGGGGAGGTGCCGACCTCAGACTTTTCTCTTTCCCACCAGCACCACCGGGACCCTGGGTGCAATTCAGAAGATGACGCGGGTGCGTGTGGTGGACAACAGTGCCCTGGGGAACACCCCGTACCATCGCCCTCCTCGCTGCATCCACGTCTACACCAAGAATGGGGTGGGCAAGGTGGGTGACCGGATACTGCTGGCCATCAAGGGACAGAAGAAGAAGGCGCTCATTGTGGGGCACCGCATGCCTGGTCCTCGGATGACCCCCAGGTTCGACTCTAATAACGTGGTCCTCATCGAGGACAACGGGAATCCGGTGGGGACCCGCATTAAGATACCCATCCCCACCAGCCTGCGCCGGAGGGAAGGCGAGTTTTCCAAGGTGCTGGCCATTGCTCAGAACTTTGTGTGAGCAGAGCCCAGCCGCAGCGGTGGTGGGGCTCCTGAAGGAGCAGTTCCGAAAACTGCGCCCCTGCTGGCGGGGAGCTTGGGGCCCCGTGGCTGGGGAACAGTGTCCTGTGAGGAATAAACATTTTCACATGTGTCTCCTTCTTGAGCTTTCTGGAATGTGGTTGTGAGGTCAGTGGCACGGAAGCAGTTACAAGGTGGCCAACTGTTGGGTGTTTCCTTCCCACGTCCCTTGTGGGTCAGGGTTCAGGAACTGGAAGCAGAGCCGCACACAAATGAATATGAAAAGACAAAAGATAATTTGGAAATATTGGGGGACCAGGCGAGTAAGTCCAACTCAAGGGGAAGGACTTCCTCCAGTGCTTAGGCCTCACCAAGCTTTTATTGATCTGGGATGCACCCATAGCATAGCCCTTAGGCGGGTGACCCCTGGCAACAGACAGACTAGTCCATCAGCAAGGATTTACATAATAATAAATGGGGGAGTAGTTTCAGCTACCACTGTCTGGACAAACAGGTGGCGCCCAGCTCCGACCTTTGCTAGGGCTTCAAAGGCACCCAGCCTTCGGGGGGTTTCTCTGTCTACACTTATCAGATAGTGAAGGCAATAAACAATTTCCCACAGCCAACCCATGTCAGGCCACAGACGGCAGCGTCTGCCCGGAGCAGCCCCCGAGCTCCCCCAGGAGCATCAGGCTCTGGGCGATGAGGGTGCAACCCAATGCTGGTCTGTGAATGTCCAGTGGAATCCGTCACTTCTGACCAGGCAGACCCTTCCCCCGTCTACAGGGTCCTGTCCCCGTGTCGGGGCCGGGCTGTTCGGTGGGTATGAAGAGGCCTGGGTGGCCCTGAGCAGGGGCAGGGTGACTTGTTGGATGTAGTGGGACGTTGCCTGTCGGCTCTGACGGGACCCAGGCAGCCATCCTTCCTCTGCTGTGGAGCACCCCCTGCCAGGGGCCAAAGCCTCCCCGAGGCCCGCAGCAGGAGGCTTCCTTCCCTGCGTGTGGGAGAGGGACCAGCCCTGTGTTTTGTGGGTGACTGATCTTGGGCCTGTGCAGGTGATTCAGTGGCAGTTTATCTTCCATTTCTTTATGGGTCTCCTTGGGGCGGTTGGGGGCCTCTCTTGGTTCCTTTGATGGAACCTCATTAACTCCTTTATGAATGCATTCATTCATTCATTCAACATACCGTGGGCACGAACTCATTAAATAACCCAGTGGCCTCTGAGAGGCAGAGTCGCCTAATGATCAAGAACTCTGTTCTGTAGCCAGACTGTCTGGCTTTTATGGTGACTTTGAGCCAGTTCTCTAACTCCTCTGTCTCTCAGTTTCCTTCCCAGTAAAATGGGGATAGAATAATGGTACCTACTCATGGGCCGATGTGAGAGTTTCATGAGTTAGTACCTGTGAACGCCTGGCAGTAATAAGCACACGACAGGCATTAGCTATTTTCTATGATCATTGCTGAGCATGTGCAAGCACAGGGGAACAGGTGAGTCTAAGCAGATATGGTCCTTGTTCTTGTGGGGCTGACAGGGTCCTAGGGGACGTCGACACAGATCACACAGTTACTTACTAGTAAATGCAAATTCCTCGGTGTAAACAAGGGCCTACGAATGAGGGATTCGACTTTTCCAGGGGGATTGGAGGCAGCTTCCTGAGGAAGGGTTGCATCAGCAGCATTCTGGAGAATGAGCAGGCATTGTGATAGGAGTCACAGCAGCGGTTACCAGGGAGTGGGGAGGAGTGTAGACTGAAAGGGGCAGGAGGGCGCCATATGGGTGCTGGATTGTTTGAGGTCTGGGTGGAAGTTGCATGAATGTGTACATCTGTAACTAACTAGGAAGCTGTGTACTTCGATGCACTTTATGTACTTTACTAGAGGCCTGGTGCACGAAATTCGTGCACGGGGGTGTGTGTGTGTGTGTCTCAGCCCAGCCTGCACCCTCTCCAATCTGGGACATCCCTCTCACAATCCAGGACTGCTGGTTCCCAACCGCTTGACTGCCTGCGTGCCTGCCTGATTGCTCCCTAACCACTCCCTTGCCAGCCTGATCAATGCCTAACTGCTCCCCTGCCGGCCTGATTGCCCCCAACTGCCCTCCCCTGCCGGCCTGGTTGCCCCTAACTTCCCTCCCTTGCCAGCATGGTCGCCCCTAACTGCCCTCCCCTGCCAGCCTGATTGCCCCTAACTGTCCTCCCCTGCAGGCCTGGTCACCCCCAACTGCCCTCCCCTGCCGGCCATCTTTGACCACATGGGGCAGCCATCTTTGTGTGTTGGAGTGATGGTCAATTTGCATATTACCTCTTTATTATATAGGGATACCTTTAGTAAACATAAATGGAGAGGCATTAGCTATGTGAGGGGTGGTATTTCAGGCAGAGGGAAGAGCATGTGCAAAACCCTGTGGTAGGAGGGAATGTGCTAACCACCAGGATGGAAGGAAAAGCCAGTGTGGCTGGAGCAGGGAGCGCAGTGAGCACGGTGCAGGTGAGGCTGCAGGAGGAGCGTGGGGAGTTTCCTTTTCGGAGGGCCTGGGGTGGGGGTATTGCTGTGGGAGTCTTTTAGCAAGCAGGGCAGGGTGGTGGGGAGGCAAGCATGGTTCTGTTGGCTCTATGGAGAGGCTTGGGGAGGCCAGAACGGATGGGCATAGGCTTTGTTGGAGAATGCAAGAGGACGACATATGTTGGACTAGGACGGGTGATGGAAGGGAGTAGAAGCCGTTAGATGGTAGAGTTGACTGGGCCTGGAAATGCGTTAATACGGCGGGGGAGGGCCAAGAATGGGCCCGAGGTTTCTGGCTTCCATCCATGCCTGTACGGTTGGTCCTGATGGGCCCTGAACTGGGGTGTCCTAGGGAGGCCCCAGTGTGGGGGAAGGAGAGCAGCTGGGGGCATCTGAGTGGGGGTGCCTTTGAGACAGCCAGCAGATGTCAAGTAGGTAGCTGGATATAAATAAACTCTTAAATTGGAATAGCACTTAGCATCTATTTTGAAAGCATCTATGTGTATATGCATATTCTTGGTGTTCCTCAGACCTTAGGTTTGGCAGACACCGGTCCTGTCTTTTAGATGGAGACACTGAGTTTCAGAGGCCACATGATTTCTTAGGGTCTCCACACCTAATAGGTGCTCAGGCTGGTCTCAGAGCCCGATCCCTTGACTTCCAACGCAGGTCCCACACCGTGAGGGGGGTTTGCTGCCGAGGAGTCCTTCCCATCTCGAGTCGATCCTCACTGGCTGTGACCCTAGAGAATGGTCCCGTTCTCCCGTGTTCAGTGCGCACACTGGGAGCCTCTGGCGGGGCTAAGCCTTGACTGCAAGGAGGCGAACACGGGCTTTTAGCGTCTGTCTTCCCGGTTGAGCGGCGCACTGCTCCCCGGGCTTCCCTGATGGAGCTCGATTCCGGGCACGTCTGGGTATTTTAGGAGCTGACATCCCTCTCCATCTGGCCTCTGGAAGGGCCAGTAGACTGTGGCGTGGTCGCCGCAGTGGCGCCTGGCCAAGGAGGAGGAATCACGCCCAGGCCAGGCCTGAAGTGTCTCTTCAGCAGCAGCAGCTGGGCCTCAGCAAGCTCATCCTTTCTGTTTCTGGGCTGCTTCCCAACGCCTGCAGAAGGAGGAGACCCTGTCCCGAGGCAAAGGAGAGGTGGAATTGGCATTCTCATCCTGGCACCGTCTGCCCGGGGGCTGGGCCTTTGCTCCGACCGTCAGCTTGACCTGCGTTGCTGCCTAGCTTTGCAGGTCACTTGCGTTCTGGGGTCGGGCTCACTCCTTTCTCTGTGCTTCGTCAGCGGGACGTGTGCTCATCCTTTCACGAGTTCCCAGGCCACTGGCTGCTCAGCTGTCACCCCCTTCCCGTGTTAAGGTTTACCCAAGTCACTCAAACGACTGTCCTCGCTGCCCCCGCTCCTGGTCTTCCGTGAGCTCACCGCTCCCCCCAAGGTGTTCTTGCTGCCGGCTGGAAGGCTGCGGTTTCCACAAAGCCGCTGGCCAGAGCCCACACTCTGACGCAGGCCCGCGCCGCACACAGCCCAGAATAGCCCGCGTTACTGCTCTTCCAGCTGCCCTATCACTTTGCACACCGGGATCTAATTTGCTGTCCACCCTCCACACCCCAGTCTCTCAGCCAGGACTGCTTTCTTTGCTCATAAAATATTTATAATCACAGATTATGTTTCCCTATGAGGATAAACTTGCTTTTGTTTTTTTCCCTTCCGTGCCCTTAAGAAGCTGCCCCTGACGGGTCAACGAGCCTCCTTTCTCTGGGTTCACCGCCTTCACTGCAGTGGCCGCTGAGGTGCCTGCCGAGGTGTCCGCCCCGCTCCTGGTCGGGCTCCCTCTGCTGCACCACGGCGGAGGGAGTGGGGTGGGAAGGGCTGCAGACTGGAGGCTGTGGTTGGGAGACCTGGGCTGCAGTCGGGCTGTGCTGCGAACTCCAGGTGCCACTTTGGGCAAGCCACAGCTTCGGGGGGGGGGGGGGCACGGAGGCCTGGTGCTCGGGACCCAGCAGTGGGGCGCCCCTCTGGAGCAGACCAAGGCCTGGCTCTCTGACTGCAGCCCTTGCCCCAGCCACCTTGAAGGGCGTGCCCTTTGCTGCAGATGGGGACCCGGGCCAAGAATGTGGCAGAGATCATCCTGTCACCGTGAACACTCCCTGGGAAAGCGGCCAGGGCGCTTTCTTGGATGACAGGCAGTTCCCTCCTGGAGCTCTCGAGCTCAGCCTTGTCTCACTGTTACAGGCAGAATGCACCCGAGGCATGAGGCATGCCGCCTCCCCAGCAGGGGGGCGTGTCCCAGGCCTGGGGAGGGGCTCCCTTCCTCTCTGAAATCAATAACTGGGCACAGCCTCCCGAGGTTCCCTGTCCCTGCTCTCATCGCCTTTCTTGGCTTCTCATGTTCTCTCATGTTCTTTGAGAATTCTTGTTTTTGAAGAAAATTGCATGATACTGGAATACTTCACTGAAATTCAAATCTGTCCAGCAGCTGCATTTCTTTCCTTCCTCTAATTTGGTAATTCAATCTTTAACAAAAAGGTTCGGGGCTTTGTTTTATTCTTTCCCACCTGGAGGATGGCTGTAGATCAGAGTTCAGTTCCCCTCAGCATTTTACACAATTGCTGAATTGTTTTGGTAAATATTAGTA